GATTGCTATTTTGCTCTTGCCTTTTAAGTTGTGTATGTACAGGGAGGAAAACATGAAGAGGATTCCAGAAGTTTAATTTCTTGCACAGATAGAAGTCTACAGTTGAGGCTGCTTAATGGCTTTCCCTCACCTGTTAGAATGCCCCTCATCATCATCATAAATACTTTGTACTTCCCTGGCCCAGTTCTAAAATGAATGTGCTAAAACCCAGGGGACTGTCATGTTTCTACCAGAAGAGGGATGTATCAGCAGTCCTGTCTGTTCTGCAATTGCTGCTGTGTGAAACAGATGTTTTTTCTCACAGGTTGCTGAATGGGGCATCCAGAAGCTGGGACTTCCTATGTACGCAGACCACCTGGCAGGGACCTACAGTGGTGGCAACAAGCGCAAGCTCTCCACTGCCATTGCCCTGATAGGCTGCCCACCACTCATCTTGCTAGTAAGTGTCATGGAAACACAGCCCTGGGTAGTTCAATATAACATCTCATAATACTACATTATCTCATAATACTACATGCTAAAGGGCTACCACATCCTTGAAAGTTCCTTTCTGCCCTCAATTTACAGCTATTTCAGTGTAATTTTGAATTAATTTCAGGTGTAGTCTGGGATGTGTAACTATGTTTCTAATGGACCCCAAGTGATTACAAAAGAAAGACCTTCAAAAAAGAATGTGTTGAGATAAAATCTATAATCCAGAAAAATCTGAATTTAAACTGTTGTTTAGTTTCAGTCTGCCTTTTCTTGTCAGAGTGTAGCCACTGATGTAAAAGATGATCTTCCAACATATCCACCTGGCTACTTTATCCAGCAGAACACAGGAAGATGCCTACCCTTTTCCAGCCTTTAATATCTTTGGAATAAATTATACAAATTTATACTAAACTATAGAAATGCTGAAATATAGCTCTTGCCAAACAAAATTAATGATTAGATAATTGCACATCTAAAGGGAAATTCAATATGAAATTACTACAGAAATTCTTTATTTAGACTATATTCTACCACCTTAATTTGTATGTCTATGACTTTTAGACAAGTCACTTTTATGTTGTAAAGTTAATGAAGTGTTTTAATACATACTAATAGCCTTGGTTCCTTGTACCATTTAATATGCCTTTACATGTATTCTGCCTGTAGTAAACAGTCAGATAAAATGTTTTCTCATAATTTCTTAAGACAAGATGTTCAATGAAAATTTTTCTATCCTAATTTTGTTTACATTTTCTGTTACTTACTGGGTTAGCTGACTTATGTTGGATCAAATCCTTAGGTGGTGTAAATCAGAATGACTTCACTGATTTCTTGGATTGAACAATGTCCTATATGTTTATGCAAGTGAGACAATCTGGTGAGAGCTCATTGTTGCCCAGAAAAGGCACTCCCTTCCCTGTAGCTGTGCCCTACACAATACAGCACTGTATTCATACCTGCAGTCCATGGTCTTGTTTTCTTACTGCTTTGTGCCGAGAAGTCCATTGGTACCCACTCACTCCGATGCTTCTCAAGGTCTATGTGCTTTCTCAAGGCACAGATTACTTTAGAGAAACAATCACATGCTATGGTCAAAAAAGTGACCTGATTCTAAATAGATTTTCCCTGTTTTATCTGACTCTGATTGCCTTAACATTTCCATTACAGGATGAACCGACTACTGGGATGGACCCTCAGTCCCGGCGCCTCCTGTGGGACTCTATTGTTGGTGTGCTCAGAGATGGGCGAGCGGTGGTTCTAACCTCACACAGGTAAAAACACTTGGAATTCAGAATCTGAAAGCAGCTGAAGTACATCTGTTGGCTTTTATCTCAAATATCTCTTCTCTGTTTTGAAAGTATGGAAGAATGTGAAGCCCTCTGTACTCGTTTAGCCATCATGGTACAAGGTACCTTCAAATGCCTAGGCACAATTCAGGAGCTAAAATACAAGTAAGTAGAATATTTTTATAGTGGTTTTTAATGGGAAAATTTAGTGTATGTGACATGTACTATTCTTAATATAAGTAATTCAATGGTTAACCACACCTATTTCTGGGTGCAGCTCTGTTGTATATTAGACAATCTGACCAGATCTCATTTCAACTCTATTATGCTACATACCACTTCTGCAAGGCAAATACAGGGCTTCCTAAAAAAACTGGATCTTATGCAATATCTTTCAGATACTGTTATTGTTTTCATGGCTGCAGAAAACTAATTTCCTTCCTGAATGATGAAACAACCTCTTCATCCAATTCCTAAATCCACATGTCCTTCCCAGGTTTGGAGATGGCTATATTGTCACTCTGAAAATCAAAGCTCCAAAGTCTGGGCTGCCTCCAGATCCTGCTCCTGCTGAGAAATTCATACGCATCAACTTCCCAGGGAGTTTCCAGAGAGAGAAACACTACAACATGCTGCAGTATCAGATTTGCTCTTCCTCTTTGGCTAAGATTTTCCGATTAATAATCTCCAATAAGGAAAATTTGCATATTGAAGAATATTCTGTGTCTCAAACAACATTAGATCAGGTGAGTAAAAAGTAAAACATCCATGAGAAAGCCTGTCTGGTGAGAATTAGGCAACATAATGGGGATGTATCCAAACAACTAAAGGACCAAATTGTTTAGAGAATTATCTCACACCTCTTTCTCAGGCAAGATTCCCAGGCCTCTCATCAAGGAGGGTGTATCAGTATGAATCAGTAACAGTATTCCCTGTGTAAATAGGTGCCATGTGAAAGCTGGTAAGACAATGTTTCCCATATGACAGAATTCACACAACCCATTGCTTCAGGAGCAGCAGTCTGAGCAAGGTCAGCAATTTGGAATGAGACTGAGCTGAGAATAGCATTTTATTTTAAATAAGAGGTTTGGACTGTGTTGTATCAAAGACACTGTGAGAAGCAATTAGACACACAAAACCTGGGAAGTCTACTGGGAGTTTTGAAAACACTCACTTGCTAAAGGGTATTGGCCCCATCTGTCTGCTTTCCTAAGTAACAAAGGGTCCACATATGCAAAGCTGTTTTCGGTGGGATTGCTAGAGAGGAATTCCTGGCTGCCTTTCAGCTTCCTACTAAAATATTCTGTCTCCTCTTTCCTATCACAACCAAACTCATGCTGTGTAAACCCTGCAAACCTGGCTGAAGCCATTTCCTCCTTAAGAAAAAGTAGGATTTTACTTGCAAGCAAGTACATCCAAAGGAAGGAAGTTGCAAGGAAGTTTATCAAAATAAAGGAGGAACTCACGATCTCAGCTGATAACACAGTGTCTCAGTTCAGTGATGTCTGTGGATTCCCCTTTCTGTCTGTTTCCTGCAGAGCAGTCATTCCACTAACTCATCTCAGTTGAAGACATGGTGATGTTTTCTGCTTTCCTCACACAGGTTTTTGTGAACTTTGCTAAACAGCAGATGGAGGATGAGGAAATTCCTTTGCATCCGCGTGCAGCTGGAGCCAGCCGAGAAGCCAGAGTGTCCCCAGCTCTCCATCAGCAGGCAGCTGCATAGACTGCTCCTGCAGCCTCCAGGCTTAGTGTGTGCACAGTGCATGTGCCATACCAGAGCAGAGCAAGGGTAAAACAAAGGTTTTCACACTCAGTGTTACACTGATTTTTTTGCACCTTTCTGAGCACTGTGCTCTCAACAACAGCCCTAGCAACAGCCAACTTCTACTGCTCTACCAGTAACACTACATGCTGAGAGTGTCAAAGGAAAGGCAGGTCCTTGCTATAGAATAAAATCTTCCTCTAACATAAAGTCCATTATAAGATACAAGAAGCAAGTCTCATTCCTCCTTGTTGACATATAAATAACATCAAAGATGGATTCTCTATCTGGTACTTTCAGGCTGGCAGGTTTTTCTTCTTTAACCCTTATGTCAACTGCTGCAAGTCAGCAAACAGATCCCAAGGATGACAGCATTGCCCAGCTTAGAAGCAGATTCCTGCTGTGCTGAGTGCACGGGACTATCAAGGTCAGAACAGTGCTGGCTAATGGGGCTAGTCCTGGGAGATTGCTTCACTGTCTCACCAGGCTGCCAGTGAAAACAGACGGTTGTCTCAGCAAGAATGAAAAGAATTAATTCAGAGCTCAGACCCAGACAAGAAACTTGCTCTTAAAAAAAATTAATTAAAATGATCTCATACTCATCTTCAAGTTGCCTCAAAGAGAGGCCAAATGTCAAAATGGAGATTAAAAAGAAAGAGAGTATGACTAAATCTGCCAAAAGTTTTGTTTTCTTGCAGAGAAAGGTCTCTTTGTTACTAAACAGGACAATGTTTTCTTCTTTCCTGTGACTGGACATTAAGTGGATGTAAAGTGTGAATAGGGTATGTGCTTTCTACCTCCTCAGAAGGAAAACTTCAACCTGCTTGCACTCCACACTGCACTCAGTGGGAAATCATTTGACATTTAGTTCTTTTTTTCTGGTTCACAATTTAACTAGTGGAACAACAATACTGAAAACAAATTCATAATGATGTTTTGCTTCAGTTATCTATCAGATCTAATAATTTCTAAGAAATCTTCTCTATGTTATACAGAATTAAAATCTGGATCATGTATTTTTGCTTTGAAAGATATTTTTCTTCAATTGATGTAGTTTTTTTTATAAGGACACTCTTGCTGTTTACTGTACAAAATATTATGAAACTTCAGCAACCAGCTCTAGCCTTCTCTTTTTGCCATAATTATTTCAAATGGTTTTAAAATAGATTTTATTGCATATTTCACCCTTACAAATAGTTGCAAAAATCTTTCTATACATCTATTATAGATAAATAAATTAATTATGAAACAAAACAGTATCTATGCATTCTCTTCATATTCTAAAATAGCTTCTTTAAAATGTCATTCAGATAGATTTCAATAGCCTTTTTTAACTAGATTTACACAAAACCCGACTAAGTCCCACAGAACATCCTGTGACAAAGAAAACACAGGAAGTCTAAAATGAAGCTGATTTTTCTCACTGGCTCCAAAAATAGGAAGAGCATTCCGAGGACTAGCAGTCACTTCATGTATTTACAAAGTGTATTAAACTACTGAGAGAAGCCTAATGTAAAATGCTGGGTAAAAGGTCAATTAGCATCATAAGGAGATGTTATATATCAAAACAGGCCAGATGTCAAAGATATGACATAGGTTAGATTGCTTCTGAATCTTATTTACTAGTATGCAACTACTAATGAGAAGACCAAAAGCAAGCAAAAAACCCAGCACATTCACAAATACTGCAAATATTTCTTACTTAAGATTCTTTTGGCAAATTAGGTGTTAGACCCAAATCAGGTTTTTGAGATATGGCCTATTTCTTTATTCCAGGAACCATTCATATTCTTTGGTAATGTTATGTTACAAAGCCCCTGCCTCCAGGCAGCACACTCGTCTTCAAGTCAAAGAAGGCAGATCATGCAACTGTCCTGAGGCCAGCTGCCATGCTGGCTGAACTGAGCTCTGTAGTTAGCTGGTGTGTCCTCGTTCCAGTGTACTTCTGTCTTGCAGAATGCCACTGCTAAATTTGGAGCTGCTTTTCAGCACAGACTTCTCAGGATCTCTGATCCATCAATCTAAACAGACTAGTACAGAAAAATCTAAGGCAGGTTACAGTGAACTGCAGGGACTTTTTTTTTTGCAGCTGTGCAACGAAGACTTATCTTTTAAGGTGCTTCTGAGTTGAGAATTCTTGAATGTAAGGAAGTGTAGCTTTCAAGTGCATACAATTTCCCTTAGCAGTGGAGATTCAACATGCACCAAAATCCTTTTAATTTATTTATTTATTTGGCAGGACATTTATGAGGTTTTCTTCTTGAGGTTCTGTGCAATATTCAAATTGAGCCTTCTTTTCTTACAACAAAAAGGGAATAATTGGCATTCTATGACTTGGATAGTCCTTGAATTCTCTTAAGTAGGTGCAGTGTTTATCCTTTGCCCAGACTGTCATCTGAATGAAGCAAAGCAAGGTGAACAGTCCCACTAGAAGGAAGGGGAAAAAATACATTCATTATCAGATTAAAAACATGCTCCTGCTGCTGACATCACTTCAGGTTGAAGTACCAAAACATTACTCACCTGGAACACACTGAGTCATGATAGTGAAACTGATCCAGGTCCCCACCTGTTTTGGCCAAGGAAATTTAAAATATTTCTGGTGACAGCATTTGCATTTATGTCTCTATTGATCAAAATAACCTTGTCCCTAGTATAGGTAAATAAAAAAATCAAGGTCAGCCAGATCAATTTCTACTGTCAATGACCTTTAGTCAAAAAGGTGAACAGTGCCTTATTATCACAAACAAAACCTTCATATTTGCTTCCACAGCTATTACAATGACAAACTTTAAAGCATTAAAACAGTGTCCTTCCTGTTGCTCTGCCTAATTTGTATTCATCAGACCTCCATCACTATTAGCAATGGTAACTTTCTATAGTCTGAGGCCCAATGCTGTTCTCATGAACATCTGTTGATCTCCACTGAATTTCAAACCTGACACTGTCCTTCTGTGCAAGAATGAATGTTACACTGAGTTGCACTGACTTTATCTGCTTTTGAACTCAGTCAGGAGTTAGGTCCTTATTAAAGAATATGAAATGATAAACTGATTAAAGTTTCTAAAGCAGTCACCACTAACAGAAGTGATTGTGTAACTTAAAACAGGGAAAACTTTGGCTCATTTTCTCTATCACAGTATCTTTTATTTGTCTGATCACTATCTTTCTGCCTGCAGTGATATTTCTAGGCTCTTACATTATAAATCCACCAGACACCTCCATCCCCTCAATGCAGCACATGTTCAGTGACAATCTCCCTGTTCCTGGCTGCAGAATTTGCCCTCCTTTACAGTGTATGTCTTGTCTAGCAGCCACACGGAAGCACTGGCCCAGGGTCAGGGCTGTCTGTGTAAGGTTAGTCACATCAGTACTGACCCAAGGGAGGGGAGGAAGAGCAGGCAAATTCTTGTCCACAACCTGATTTCATGGGGTTTAGGGAATGAGGGGAAATGTACTGAGCTGAACAGTTTCAGGGGTTTCTTCCATGTAAAACATTCTAAAAGAAGCAAAAATATATTCAGTGAAACTAAAATCTGAACATCTTGTTTGAAAATACATACCTCATATGTATAGTTAGGGCAAGATACAAAGAAAAACAGCCATGTGAAAGGATTCTTTGTTGGATATGGGATCTTACAGGTTTTGGATCCTATAGATTAGAAAACAAATCACAAAATATTCACACTCCTAAATATATTGTTTCCTGTAAAGACAACCCAGCTCTGCCTACTTCTGTGTCTCATGACTGTCAGAGGGACAAACAGGATGTGAGAAGACAGGATGTCCTCTGGACTCACAAGAGGAGTGGGATACCTGTGAGGGAACTTTCCCTTGCTCACCAAAACATAGCTTGTAGCAGCACAGTTTCCTTTTGCACTGGAATATAACCAATGTAACTGCTCCCAACACAACCCAGCCCAAAACGATAAAAATTATAGTAAGATAAGAAGTGTTGTTCAACAGTCTGATGTCAGAGTCCTTGCACTGTCTGATTTCCCTTAGAATCCAATCTTTACAGTGCTGAGCAACCTGTGCTTCCACAGCAGTCAGCTGACAGGTACCATCACCCCCCAGGATCAGGTCTTTCCTGGGGCAGAACAACTGAAGGAAGTACTGAATGGCTGCGCAAAACTGAAAAATGATGATGCAGTTTTTACCATTTCTCCGGAGGTCACTGAGTGCAACATGAATGGAAAAATTTCCAGCTTCACACAGCTGCAAGGAAAAGTATGACAGAGTTAAATAAGTTCTATTTGTTTTTCTTCCTTTTGTTATTTCCCAGAGTTCTTTAAAATATTTAAGAAAAGGAAAATCATCGATTATAAACATAATAAATATCCTTAACTAAGACTACTGACAGAAGGATGAAACATCTCCATTCAAATATGAGTCTATATTATATTCTGTTATATCTTTATAATATTTTTCAGAAACTGTGGACTCCATGTCCAAAGTATCAGATTTATTACTTACATAATCCCCTTGAAATCTAAATAAACCACAGGGGATAGAAGTGAACTCGGGGGATATTTGCTTTATTTTTTGATCATTCTTATGCCTTTAAAAACATCCAAAAATTATTTACATAGTCTTGGTGTCTCAAAAGTTATTAAAATCCCAAGGAAGATACAATTTGGTCTCTAAGTAAGTTTTCTTCTCTAGAGTATAATTGATATTAATAATGAAATATAATTGACCCAGCTTCCTTCACTGGATTTAAAGAATGCTGCCCCACTCAATTAGGAAGAGAGTGTATTGAAATGACCTATTTATATGATTATGGACAGTCTCCAGTGTCTGCAATGCATAACTATTAGCAAATGACTAGTGGTCAGAGCTCCTGAGTTTTATTCCCAGCTCTGTGCTTTCAGTTATGGACTTTCTCTATAAAATGTGAGTAGATTATGACCTCACAGAATTTTCATCCAGGGAAGCTGCTTTGGGATCCTGCAGTCCCAAAGCAAGTGAGTAGCTGATGTTCTAAACAAGTTACACATGCATAGGAAAAGTCTTTACATGGAGGTACATATTTATTGGCTACACTGAGTTTGCTTCTGCATGTATGAAGTGTTCCTAGGAATTGTGAGAATGAACAAATGTGAGTAACTGAAGAACTTTGAATCATAAAGAAAGCTATAAACAGTTTTGGAAGCTCAGCAAAAGAAAACTTTATCACTGGAAATTATCAGCAACATAATCTCTTAGTTGGCCAGTTGTCTGAGATTTATGATTTGTTGTGATTCTTAACACTCAGTAAACAGTTCACAAACTCACTGGCTTTTAAACATAAGGTCACAAACTTTTAAAGATTGTGAGAGATCATCCCAGCAGATAAATATCCTAGTCTTGGAATGGACACTGAATCAAAATATTCCTTTGTGTACAAAGTCAAATTAAAACCTGACAGATTTATCTGTTTTCCATGCAAGTGGACAGCTTTAGTAGTATATCCCAAATGTCCTACTCCTAAGGATCTGTTCATCCTACTCACTCCTCCATTTATATGACAGAGAAGCAAGGCAAGATATTTTAGCATTTTATAGAAAAAGCAATAAACCTACCAGGAACATGATCACAGCAAAATTTATCTGTTTTTTCCCATAAGCTATTAAAAAAAAGAGTTTGCATGTCATTAGTACTAGTATACAAAGTACATACATAAATACTTAAATCAATGAGGGTTGTTTTGCTACTTACAAGGAGGAGTGTAAAGAGGATGATTGATGTAATATGCAAGCCAAGCTGCAAATCCCCAGTAATATAAGCAGTTCTGAAAAATAAGCATTTTTTCTTTGTTTTAGTACAGTGTTTTAGGCCATTATTTGCTGCAAGGACTATTGATAACAATGGATCAGGACAATCCTTCAACTTGCTGATAATACAACAAGAAATGGCAGTACTAAGTGTGGTAGGTGGGGGCAGGTAACAGGAAATAAGAAAGGAAATGGTACTAATAGAGTTAAGATTTCCTCTAAAATATCTTGGCATTGTTACGTGTATAAACCGTTTTAGAAACTATGATCATATGACTGAAAACAAAATTATCTTGTCTGGCAATCCATTGGGCAAGGCTGAAGAGCATACAGACTGTATGTTGAAGAGAAACTTGTTTTGCTGACCCCTGAGACTGTTAGACCAGATCTGGGCACCGTTCTCTCTTCTTTGTTTATTATTTTGCACTGCCCAATCTCCTGTCCTCTTCTCCTTCACCCCATCAGTTTCTTTCTTTCCCATGCTTTTCCTGCCTGATGCTTTCCTCTACACTTTCACTGTGATTTCTCTTGTTAGTCCCTTTTGCTGCTGTCCTTGTGTTTCTGTGGTGCAGTTCCCACTCTCTAGACTCTGATAACACAGCTGTCACTGATGGCTGTACTGACACATTCCTGACCAATCTCAGTGCTTGTACGTAGGCTTCATCCATGAAAAAACTACTTACAGTGACAACCTTTACCTCTTATTTGGTTTCCTTGGCCCTGCCTCCTGTGGGGTTTTTTCTGACAGTCATTGCTGCTTTGGTGTCTTGGTGACATGCTATTGTCTCCCTCCTTATATATATGTAGGTGGGAGGGAGGCCCTTTCTTGGGCCCTTCCTCTTCTTGCTCTGTACTCTGACCTCGAGCTGCCAATCTCTTGCAGACAGACTTTAACCCTCAACAGTTTGCCTCTCATTTGCCTCTCATCAGTTTAGTCTTCTTTTACCCAACCTAGTGCCTCAGTTTTTGATGTATTAGGGTATGTTTGTTTATCACCTGGACTTCAGCAAGACCACAGCTGAGCTCTTTATCTTTCTTTCACTTCTTCTTTTCTTTGCCTTATCTTTCCTTCCATCCTATTTTCAATTTTGAGTAAAACTCTGATCCTCTTAATCTTTCTGGTAAAGGTCCTCTTACCTTTTCTGGTCTTCTTCCTTTTTCTTGGCCTTCCAAATAGGTTCCAATACCTTAGGCATTCCTAGGTGTTTCTGCTTTCTCCTTCACCACTTCCTTTCCTGCTCATGCAGGCAAAAATCCCATCCAAGGCTGTCCTGGCTGGTTTAACTTTTTTTTTTTTTTTTTTTTTCCTTTGAATTTTGCAGTCTTTTTCCCCTGTATATACCAGAACTGCATTTCTAGCAATAATACCCTGGAAAAGTGATTACCTCAGCGTCTCCAACCTGCACTAGCTGACTGCAGTGTCTGATGGTGCATTTTTCTGAAAATGCTGGTGCCCCCTCATCTGCTGCAAACAGCTGTATCAAACATTCAGTTGCATTTCCACTTTCTTCTCAGGGTTAACTGAACCACTGCAGTGCCCAGAGACCTCAGACAAAATGGATACCCTTTTGGGTGTGCTGTAATACAAGCACTTAGTATGTCCTTGCTCTGAGATTGTGTAAGAGCTAACTGATGAAAAAGAGCAAATTATTAACCAGTAATTACAAATCAGGTGGGATGAATGAGCAGAAAAAAAAAAATAGCTTCCCTGTGATGACTTCATTTTCCCCCAGGAAATGCAGCAGAACCAAAAGAATGACTCCAGTGAGGGACAGTATAAGTAGTGTCCTATCCATAAACTACTGCTTCCTCCCTAAAATTAGCTTCTTCAACAGGCACTTACAATTTACTGACTGCTGTACAAACTTAGGTGGAAACAGTTTCTTGTAATCTTGCAATGGCATCTGCAGGAAAACCTTCTCCTAGCTTCAAGGCTTGGCACAGGATGGAACATATGGCAATGGATTTCAGTGAAGTAGAATTAAATAAATTAATTATCATGGCTCAGTCCCCAACAATACATGTTCTAATTAAACTGAACAAGTGCTAACCACCCAAAGAACATGATTTACTGCAGAGACTCTTCCTCAGTTATAAGAATCTTCAAGATGAGTGGGGTCTTCCACTGCTTCAATTTACAAGTATTACTGAAAGGACCTTTCAGTAATACTTGTAAATGTCCAGCTGCCACTTGAATCTGTATTCCTCATACAAACACCTCCACTGAGGTTCAAATAGGAACATACACACTTCATAAACTCACTTGGAGAAAAGAAAGAGTTTCTGTGAATCCTGAATAATAAAGCTTTACAACAGTCTCTTATAATGCTGCAGGTCAAGTTCAGATATTTGCAGGAATCCCATAAATAAATTATTCCTAAGTTTCCAAACTTACAGTTAGGAGTTTTGTCTTCTCTACTGCAATTGACAATCCATAGTTCTTGATATCCTGCCTATGTTTATTCATGACCAGCATGTACTCTTCTGTTTGTCTTCTTATATTGTCTTCTGGTTTAAATAGTATTTATTTAGATCTAATGTTCTCTTTCCTCCAGATGTTTTTCTACAAAGTGATGATATCCCTTCTTTTTACTCACAAAAATGTTCATGGGTAAAGAAAGACCATGTAAGACCAATCATGAGACTAATCTTTGAGGAATTCTTCTGGTACTTCCCTATTATTAAAGGTCTAACTGATGCTTTTTTAGCACAACCCAACCATAATTATCTTTCTTTCAATTAGTTCCTTTTTCACCACACAATTTTGGTATTAATCCCTATTTTATTCACCCTAAGGAGTTGTTTACTAGGTCCAGATAAATCAGGTATTCTACCTTTCCAATGCCTAGAAAAATCACATCTTAGAAAAAATTATACTGTTAGTATGCTCTGCTTTTGGTGAAGCTGCTGCATTGCAGGGTATAATTTATTCCTAGTTCCATTTGGGAAAAAGGGATGAAAATCCCATCTCTCATCAATTCCCATCTCAGATTTCTGCTTATTGACACTGAAGTATCTCCTGTACACATAGCATTCCACTGCACTTAGGAAAGAAGCTATCTATATCTGCTGTGTATGTGAACAAACCCTGAAAATACCAAAGTATCAAACCCTGTCTACTATGTCCTTGTCCATCTAGTATGTGATGGAAAAACAGAAAAAAAGATGTGATGTTTTTCACACTGGCACAATTTTGGAGTAACACCACCAAGGCCAATGAAATTATAAAAGCAAATCAAACCCAAGCATTGCTAAACAGGTAGAATAAGAACTGTGAGCAACTTTACAGATGAAAACAAGTGCCTCCAACCTGAGAAGATGGAAAAGAGGAAGTGATCAGAACGACTGGTACAAATGTTAATTTTAGCAACAAGAGTTTGTATGGTCTGAAAGGAACACGTAGTTGTCAGAGATGGCAGTGAGAAAAATTATTATCACACTGATTGTTTTTTCAAGGTAAAGTTGCTCATTTATCTGCTGTTTAGCATGCATTATCTACTGTTGTGTCAAGAACAAGAGATCTGCAAGACCTGTTGTCTTGAATGAGATCTGCAAATCTTTTAACAACTCTTGCTGCAGGAAGCACAAAAATTTCTAGGAAGGATTCTTTTGGAGGGCCACTGCTCCACTACAGACCCTCCTTTCCTGAAAGCTCCCTGAAGGACCAGAGCCACTGGACAGCTGTAAGGAGTTAGCCACAAGGTAGAGCTTCAGCTGCTACAAGTATCACTGCCATAGTGCAAATTACCAGGAACTGCCTAAATCCCAAATGTTAAAATTCCCAAATGCTTTTTCAGTTGATAATCTCTTGTCTTCCTTAGAATAAGTACTTTTGACTACTAGTGTGTTCTCTGTTGCAAACGTTTGTAAAATAATTACAGCTTATGCATAACCATGCAGTTGCTGTACTACTTCTCAGACACCCAGGGAACAGAGTCTGCACCCCAAGAGCTGCCCTGTGCCACAGCAACACTGCTGACATCAGGGAATGCTCCTGTGGAGAAGAAAATGCTGAACAACTGAGGTGCTTTGCACTTGATCAAAGGTAAATTAACAGCTTCTTAACAACAAAGAGAATGTTAGGGGCAAAGCAGATATAAAGTGACTGTTACAATTTATTTCTTTTTTAAAGAAAGCAGCTCTCCCACCATTGTGCCTGACTGTACTACCTTTAAAGTTAAGTTGTTACTAAAACATTCACACCCAAGGACCTAGCTGAGTGAAAAGGAAGGGTATGCTGAAGGTATAAAATTCTAAAAAGTAATGAGACTTCTATAATATTAGTAACAGTATGACAGCATGTGGGTTATACAATAGTGACATTAAGAAATCTTCTGAAAGAATTTGGGGCAGCTTTATGGGTGAGATTTGCTGTGCATTGCTACAAAAGCCACACAAAATGTCTGTGGTGCAGAGGCAGAGCATAGGCTGGCTAAGCTGGATTTGTAAGTGCAGTTGTGGATAGATTCTGGCACATTTTACCTTCACAATATTCCTCAGTGGCATAGTCCCACGGGAGAATCGATGAACAAATACAGTTTCAATCAACCTTTTGATGTAGTGGAAAGAATGGCAGATACATGCCAAGCTAGAAACAGCAAGACAAAAGCATTTAAGAGTGCTTAAAAAAAACATATGTGCAAGACATTTGGAATAAGACTACAAGAAATACTGCTCAAGCCTGCAAATGGACTTACTTAACTACTGGGTGTGGACTTGATGTACATCTCTCATCCAGTCCATAGACAAAAGTCATGCGGAAATAAAACACAAAATAGATGAACAATGGACCTGTATATTCTATCAAAAATACCTGCAAAGAGAGAGAAAATCATTAGACAGCTGAATTGAGGATGGATTGCTTTGGTCTCTTTGGGATAAACACCTCCACACATCCAGGATGGCATTAAGAGAGGCAGGAAGGGAGTAGAAGGTTTGGGCTCAGGCTATGAAACTGGTAGCCATGCACATAAATATTTTGCAATTATTTGCCTCAGTTGCATTCAAACAGCCATTGCCAGTGCTGCAGACACAGTATGGGTATGAAAAGATAACAAAGGCAGTCCAGAGATCATGACAAATATGCATGCATGTTACATTTATGCAGCTCTCACCCTTCTCTTGCACTCAAAAGCTGTTGCTTTATTTTGGTTTAAAATGAAATTTGGTGAAGAATTTGTCTTGAGAAATAGGAGTTCTGCTTCTACTGAATGAATTTTGTTTAAACTGGAAACACAGCTTGTAAGTATTCACAGTGACCCCATCTGTGTGAACAGTTAGCACAGCAGTTTTCCTGGGAAACAATAATTTCATTCTATGTTCAAACAAGCTTTAACTGGAATACTAGAAGGAAAATAAAAAGAAAGGAAACCAGAGAAGCTATTTCTCTAACTTGATTTCATTCAGATAGGTGTGTATTTCTTAGGAATATCACTTTAAATTGACGTTAACTTTGGACCAAATATTAACAGCTGAATTTTCCACCCATCTATAAGTAAGGAAGGTAGGCCCATACGTCACTTACAGAGAAAGAAGGGAAATTGATTGTACTTCTGTCACAAACAAACAAACAAAAACCCAACAACTAAAGAAAGCAAACAAAAAAGAAACCCAAACAATCCCAGTTCTCTAATGTGTTTAGAGTTGTTTTGATACTCGGAAAAGTTGGGTTAATGAGTTCTGTTAAGATCAGCATTTTCTCTGGTGAAGATCAGGTTTGCTTGTAGATGAGAAGCCTATCTTTTTGATTTGATAATACTAAAGTATTTGTTGGTTTATATTTGAATGAAGTAGCTTGAAGGGCAGGGAGAGCAAAAGATTATGAAATGGTAGACGCCTGGGGTTACTCTGCCCTGTGATATTTTGGTTGATATTAATGCACGTGTGTCTTGAAGTCTACACTGCCATTAGAAGTTTTTGTCTGTCTTCCTGTTTTTTTGGATTGAGTAATAGCTGCTTGATTTATCAGCATTGCATCCAAAGTAAAGATGTGAAGACTTGCAAAACATATTTGACTTTTTAAATTTTACCTCTATTAACATTGTCTTTGGTATTTGTAATCAACACAAGGTTTTATTAATATCTCATAGCTAATAAATGGTAAATATGCCTTTAAATGATGAGGTACTTTTCCCTTGACATCATGCTGTTTATTTGAACTAGTGTAATACTGTGCAGCAAGGACCTTCTAGAGAGCTAGAAGGGTCATTGGTCACCTCACTGCATAAACAGCAGTGCTGTGTTGCCTGCCAAGTGACTTGTGATAGAATTTGCATTTGAGCTAAGACAGTAAATATGCAAGGTCTCTGTGGATGGCTGCTAATATTGCAGAAATTATCAGCTCTCATTAGCCTGTCACTGGCATCCTGGGACACAGTCACATGCAGACAGCAACTAATCTTAATTTTATGCATTTTCTTGCTGAAGTCACTTCAAGTACTAACATGTAAAGTTGCTCCCATGCCTCTTTGCAGGACAAACTCAATGGAGTATAATCCTAATTTTGTCAGGAGTTACACAGGTCCTGTGGAGCAGATTGCCAAAGGCATTTACTTACCTAGTTCCTAATGATTTTGCAGTAGACATCCATTTGACAATCTGCATTTTAGTTCTGTAGAGCCAACCTACCCTGCAGTGGGTTTTCCACTGCTGCTCTCCCAGGAAACTAAATAGACATTCAATCTGTTACTGCTTTCCCTGATTAAATGAACTGAAGCAATGAGGATTCATTGCCTGCATCCACTATCAGAGCAGACATCATGCAGAAATATTGGAGAGAAACAAAAAGTGATGTAAGGATTAACTGTGGAAAACTAGCCATTAAAATGGCTCAGACTTGAAGCAGAGCTCACCGTAGTCCATCCTATCTGTGGCCCTAAATCTTTAAAGTATAAGGTAGCAGTTGTGCCAACAGGGAGGTGCTGCAGGATTTCTTCATCCCTCAGGGACTTTCCTTCTGAGAAGGAAAGAAGTAATTACATCTTAGTGACATTCAAGTCCACTTTGGAAGCATAGTAGCTTTATATGGTGCTTTATCTATGAGACTCCTTGATATGATGTGGGTTTATTGGAATCTCATTAAACAGACCAAGAATATTTACACTTAATTTTTATTTATCCCTGTAATCACATATAAGCCTGCATCCTCTATTCACACCAAAACATTTAAAAGAATTCTCAATCCTATGTGCCTGCCTAGTCTAGTAGACTTTCTTCATCACTGCCAACAGCAGAATTTGTTGATGGGCAATGCCCTTTATCACAGTTCCCTGACCTCCTAGTCAGCTGCACCTCTCTCTCTCTTCCAGTCTTCTCATTGCTCATCACCAGACAAAGAGAAGAGAGGATAAGCTATGTTTGGAAAGCTCTCCTATAGAAATTTTCTTTCTTTTCCCAAACAACCAGCTATGAGGTAATTCCACTGCACTTGAGCTTTTAATGCCTAGATTTGGAGGAATCTCCAGAAGGCCAGCATTTTCTCATGGCAAGTCTCACTATGTAAATTCATAGAGGAATCTGACAAGGGAGACATTCATCTGTTTTCCATGGGTAGATTTTACACCATGAGCAAATCTTCACCAGCATACTTTTAAGGGATTGTTTAAATAAACTTGTCCTTAATGAAAGCAAAGGAAGAAAGTGTTATATTTTAGCTAAAATGAATTAACACAGTTTGGCAATAAGACTTTCTTTTGTGGACTCAGGCCATGTAAGAGGCTTCTAGTAGCAACACCTACAAGTGTATTAATGAAGTCAGCCAGCTGTCATCAGCTTTGTCAGCAATTGCTACGTCCACGGCAATGTGTTCTGCATTAGCTTCCCTCAAAAGAACTCTAATGCCTGCCTGAGAACAGAGGATTATATGAATTGATAGCTCAAACTTGCAGCCCTTTTTGGTGCTCCCAGCTGAATATCATCATGGAGATCATTTGACTGCAGCTAAGGGCAGTGAATATCTAGATCCTGCGCTGCCTCTCAGGAAAGCAACAGTGCTCAGTAGTCAGAAAGTGCATTGGAACAATGTGCGAACTCCTAAGTTAATTACCAAGCAACCAGGGTGTAACTGTGTTTCCTTCCAAAGAATTGTATTTGTTCTGGATTCTCACCAGCTTTCACAGTGCTAATTAACATAGCTGGAAACAGATTCTCAAGTGCCAATACCCTTAAGTACACCTTTCATGCCAGGGCCCTGCTCAGTTTAGTTACTCCAGACCTCAGAAGTACTTACTTGGATCAAGTTTTATTGACTGCCTTGCAGGGTACCACCGAGGATCTGTAAGACCATACAGAGTTGTGTGATATACAATGTTCCGTTTAGATCACCCATTACCATAATGAACACAATACAAGAAGATGAGCTTCGTTTATAGGTTTTTATAAATATTTATTCAACACTAATATAGGTGGTAATTATGCAGCAGAAAAAATACAAAGGTGTATCAGGATAGGATAAAATAATTTTACTGAAATCTCACTGTGATCACATTCATGTGCAGGTTATCAGCATTATGTGTGCATACATTATGTTTCAATTACGTATTTTTTTCCTATTTATGTACTGGATATTCTGATGTGATGTGAGCTGCTGCAGAAGTTATACTCACATAATTTATGGAACATCAATCTGATCTCTCTAATTGTAGCATTTGGTTCCACCTAGGCAACAAAAAGACTGTAAATATAAGATTAATGTTTTGAAAGAAAACTACTAGGTGTAAGACTATTAAGCCAAATAGAAATGTGACTTAGACAATGTAACTATTTTGTACAGATGTCTAGCCTTGATATGAAGGATTCAAACAACTGACAGGAAAAAGGCAAGACAATTTTTGACACCTGTTTCAGAGGCAGCTTCTCTAAGAGTCATCAAGAGTTACTGTTACAGCAGTGACAATCTGATGGCTTCTGAGTACCGAACAGCAGGCACCATCTTAGCAAAGCAACTTAGTAAAGGACAACTGAAGTCCTTTTTGCCCAAAAGCTCCTTCTGGAAAAGGGATGAAATATACTGTAGTCAGTATGAAGTTTGCATAATCATTACAAGTGGCCAAGGAAAAGCTACCAGAAGATGAAATCCCCTTCATAAACACCATATTTACTTAAGGAAAGTTAATAATTTCTTTAAAAGTCACCTAGTCTTTCAAGCAGATTTTTGTTTTACCTTATCTAGGAAGCATAGCTGTTTCTTTGTCTCCCAGTCAAGGATTTCCACCTGAGAGGACACAAAATGACAATTAATCATTATTGGCTAAATAATGTGTAAACTCTTAGCTGATTCCCCAATTTATAATTAATGTGACTCTCAGAGTGGGACACCGTTTTTCTCTGATCTCTGAACTGAGTTAAAAACCTTCTTGATGTTCTCAAGAGACAGCTTCAATCACCAGTTTCCAAAGGCACTCAACTTGGGAAAAAAAAAAAAAAAGCCAAATGAATCGTCTTCTTGGATATATTCAGTAGCAGAAGTAGCTAAGTGTTTGATCAAAAAAGTGATCTTGGGTATTTTCTTATGCTAGAGCAAGTGGAACAAGGGGTAGAGAAGGTAGAGAAGATTTCATAGGGATCACTAAGGAACAGTACTTTTATGATTCATAAAATTAGAAAGAGTATGAGAAAAAAAATTAAATGTATATATATGCATATAAGCAAATATTCTGAGTACATAAAGCTTGAAGATTATTGTGTGTTGTTTCCAGAATATTTTAATTGCAAGGAGAATGGAAAATATTGGTGGACATTATGAACAAATGCAACTAAATATCTGGGCTTCACAAACACTTAAACATTTGTTATAGGAATAATTCGTGTTACTCTTGCCTCTTAATCACTTGTTTTATTAATTACATATTAGCATTTCATATTCCAAGCAGAGGTTTAGCTACAGCTCTGAAAAGGAAAGAGAAGTTTATTTCCATGATCAAATGGCAGTTTGGCAAAATGTTATGTTTTTATCAACAGCCAAGCAGAAAAGTCCCCAGACATTTCAAAGCCCAGTTGCAGCAGCTCCCTAAACCTCATTGCAGTTGTTTGGGTTTTTATATAAACATCTAGCATTAATTATGTTTGATATTAACTGGCCAAGAGAAAGGATTAATATTAGACTTTAAATATGATTCCTCACTAAAAATAGGAGTCACAGTCCAGTATCTTTCTCAGAGGGTTGCTTTGAAGAGATCACTCAGTTGGAGTATCTTATTTCCTTGTTTCACTTGTTCCAAAGGGTTTTCTTTTGGCACAGCAATGGAGCACTTCAGCTCCAGTCACACTTATCAAATCTGATATCCACAAAGAACACTAATGCCATGGTGTGTTCTGCCTGTGCATTGTAAGCTCTGACTGGGACGTTGAGGGAGATAAGTGCTGTTCCTCCTTTGTGATATGTAACAAGTATGTGATGGATTGTTAGGATATGTTTTCCCTTGATTTTTTATATTTAAAATAACACACGTATCCAGTTTTAATGTTTGTTTGTGTGAAATCTCCATGGGAAAGCAAGTGAAGTGGATTCCTTTCCCAGAAGACTATTCTTGAAATACATCATTCTGACACTTGCAGTCCACAGAACAAATACAGGGCAGAGAGGGGGCTGTACACCACTTTTTGTCCCTTCTGATGCCAAGTTGCTACAAGGACTATTGAAATCTTTGGTGTATCTCAAAGTTCTTCTTCTGTCAATGAGTACCACTGGGCTGCCCTGCAGACTGCAGAAGTACCTACACTTTTAGTAGTGTCCTTCCCATTCCATAACCAACCCAAATGTATATATTTTTTTATCAGAATCCCTCAGGGGCAGTTTTAATCTATGGCCTCCAGTGGTTGTATTAGAGAGATATTCTCCAGATCAATTACAGTGGATTTAATATCTTTCTGCCACCTAAGGTAGATTAGTTGGGTTATTCTTGCTATGCACAAGACCAGACTGAAAATTACAGTTTTTCTTTTGCTCTGTGGTTTTCATGGGAGTGACTGTACAGTCAATCTCTGTGAACCTTTAGAATCAGTGTGGAAAACAAATAAAGCTTGATTCCACTGTTATTTGGTTCTGTTCCAGCACAATTCTTTCAAATGCCAAACTGTCATACTTGCCTATAGTGGTCCATGCAAATACCTAAAGGAAGACTATAGAGATGATGGATCCAGCCTCTTCTTGGAGGTACACAGAGATAATGGTGAGAGGGAATATGTCTGGATGCAATAGGAGAAAATCCAGACAAGAAGGAATTTTTTGCATCATGAGCTAGGCCGAATATGAGAAGTTGCTTAGAGAGGATGTGGAATCTTCATTCTTGGAGACATTTAAAGCTGGACTGGACAAGACCCAATGCCATTTGATCTTGCTGTATCTGCTTTGAACAGGAGTTTGACTGCATGATTTCCACAAGGCTCCTGCAACCTAAATTGCTCAATGTTTCTTTTAGTTTTTTTTCCACTTCAAACATTTAATTTACTTTCAATTACTTTCAAGATCTAGGCAAATATCAAGAAATTTTCAGAAAGATGGATGCCAGAACACAGCTTTATATTCCACTCCAGTCCACAGCAAATTGTGCAGCAACAGAGTGAAAGCAAGGTGACTGTTTCCTCTGACTCTTAGATTTATCAGAACATCCCCCAGTGTAGGTGTTCCCTGCACAAAGAACAGAAAAGCCTGATCCAAAGCAAGAATTGGTAGTTCCTGAACATCCTGGCCAATCCCATGAAGCGCCCTAGCACTGAACACAGTGTTTCCAGCCTTGAGGCACAGCACCAAGGCAGTTAATGCATTGGTTGGCAACAGTTTTTAGACACCCGGCAATCTGTTCTTGGAACACGTACTGATGGGTATCATCTCTTTTAAACATAAATTGTTTGGCTCAGAGAACTTCAATTTCATTGTGTTTTCAAAGCATTTCGCACAATAGAACACCAACTGTTGGCCTGCATTAGTGCAGTAAGGCTTACAGTCCACTTATTTGGTGAATTTTTAAAGACATTTTAAACTACAGCTTCTCTGAGACTACTTAGAGTATAACTTAATCAATAGGGAGATTTGTGCAAGAAGCTGAAAACTCTTTTATAAATGACTATAAATACATATCTTTGATTAGAAGACAAATTTCTTCAATTGCATAAGGATTAAAGATCAATAGCATCATTAGTAAAAGAAAAAATCTTGATTATTAATGTTTAGAACACAAACAGGCTGAGGGCAAAGAATAATCAATACACAATATAAGCAGAGAAAAGTATATTCAGCTGTTAAATTTTTATTCAGAAAATAAAAAGGTAAAATAAAAGTATTCACAAGGGAAAAACAGCTGAGCAAAGTGTTTATAAAGAGTTTTTAAGATGTAGTGTCTCTGTAATAGGATTACAAAAATGTAGTTCAATTGAATTCCTGCAGTTTAAAGCCATAGCTAAAGTGCTAAAAGATCAACAGATCCTCAAAAATAATGTGATAACTATTGTGCAAATACTGACACATTTATCATGTCTGTGCATCTTAGAAGTTTAATTTTAAACCATTTGTAATCAGCAGATTGAGTAAACTTGAGTGAGACTTTATAAGCACTGACATAAGCATATACTGTATTGATTTCTTTTGAAATCAATTCAGTTTAAAAAAAAGAAAAAGTTTATTTCACAGTATAGGAACCAACCAGTATGAGAAAGAGCAATGCAGAATGAATTCTCCCTGAACCGTTGGAATGCTTACATAAATCAGTTTCTTTGAATTTAAAAACCAATCCAGTGGTTGCCACAGTCCTAACTGTGGCAAACTGAATCTTTCCAAACATTTTCCCTATAGAATTATTAATCTCAGTATCATTTTCTCTATCTCCTTTGACTTTTCTGGTAGACTGTGTTGTTCCTGAAGGGAGTAAGCACGCCTTAGTGTGATCTCACATTAGGGCATATCAAGAATAGTTCTCCTCAAGTTAAGAGTTAAACCAAAAGGAGATGCTGTAAGTGTACTTACACTGAAAATTCTGTTTGTGCTGCTGCTTTACAATTGACTCTCAATATGAAGCTTCTCTTGCACTGAAAGGTACAAACTGCAGCAGAGGATGGGTCTAAGGATCCATCTAGAATTGGTTTCTGAAACAGCCAGCATCAGGTGACTCAGAAAGAGTAATAAATCAGGGCAAGAATGTAGTGACTGAGGGAAAGGGAAGAGACAGACAGTGATTTTGACTCTCCTGCACCAGAAGTGCTGCCTATGTATTTAATAATTTTTCATGGATTTCTTTCTTCAACTAGTTTATCCATTTGTCTTTTAAGCCTGTGTGAACAGTCCTGAGGCAGGGAGTCTCACAGCTCAGCCACATGCTATGGGAGAAATTCCCAAACCAGAACCAAGGCAAATGTTCACAAAGCAAAATTTCATCATCTTACCTGTGGAGTTCTGAACCTTATTCTCTATGGATTCCAGGTAAACAAATTCTTACCTCTGAACGAAGGGCTCATATTTCATGAGACTAGAATCTTATTGTATTATTTCACTGTGTATAAAGACACTGTGTATAAAGTGATGCCCATATTCAAAGGTTTTTCTAAAATGAATTTTCACTTTTGCAGAATTTACATGTCTAACACCTACAGGTTCACAAGAGATACTCTAGGTATTTACCCCTCAGAATAGCAGAATATTCTGCTATTCTGCAAGACAGTGAGCACCAGTGTTTGACCTGTGCTGACACTCTTACTGCATTTTTATTTCTTCCACCTGTTTCTGATTTGCTAGTTAGACATGCTCTCATCTAAATCCCCAAGGATATTGATCCAGTAAGCATCTTTATCCCAAGGTCAGCACAATGCACAGCATTTAGATTCTTTCTGAATGAAACTAAACTGTCAGCAAAGGAGATTATCTAGTTCTTCATGCTTTACATGTAATAGTTAGACACACTGCCAGAAAGTGGGAAAATTGCTTTGGAATGTCTTTTGCCATTCCCCATTTCTCCCACAGGCAGACCAAAAAGTACAGGCAGGAGAGGAATTCGGTGAAAAGGGCTGTCTTCTACCAAAGAGAAAGCCTGAATTTCTGTCTCTCTGGGCTCCTTTTATCACTACTCCCTTCCATTGTAATTCTGTTCAGTATTTCTCTACAGCAGATGCCTTTTGGGATACCACACAGCAAAGAGACAAGAGTTGAAGTAAACTTGGATATCCTGACCAAATTCTTCTATCTGACCTTGGAGCTGGGTGCCTAACCCAAAACCATTGCAAAACCCAAGTTGCTTTGTAGACCTGGGCCTGAGG